GCTGCAGTGGCAGACCAGATATTCTAAGTGTTGTCAGAGACCTCATCGTTTAACCTTCACTATAGCCTCTGAGTGGCTACCATGAGGGTTAACTGAAGCGGTATGTGTAAAGCCCCAGCAAATTGCTTTGCAAGTGATAAATTGTTACTAGACTTCAGCTCTCCAAAGTCAGTCACGATTTCAGGGCGAACTTGGAGGCAGTCGTGAGTGGAACCAAGCTGCTCTTTCTTCAGCTCGCATTTGTAGACTCACCAGTCCCACGGCTTTGCTTCAGAATTTCAGTCAGCTCATTATGTCCTGTGCTCATCCAGACACTGCCTCTGGGTTTAGGAATAAAGTGAGTGAACAAATCAGACCAAAGTCTGTGCTTCGACGGAGCTTAGTTTCATAGGGCAATAGCGTCTGATCGCTGTACCCTGGATGTGCATGAGGTTGAAAGCACAGGCGTTATGGGAGCATCAGGGGGGTGGCGCATGGTCTGCACTAGAGAATGAGAGAGTCTTTGTTACACACACACACACACACACACACACACACACACACACACACACACGCATACAGACACGCACACACACATACACATACAAACACACGTGCACACACACACAAACATGCACACGTATACATATACACGCAAACACGCGTACACACACACAAACTCGAGCAAATACACATACACACAAACACCCACACGCACACACAGACATGCATATACCATATGCACACAAACACAAACACATGCACACACACAAATACACAGATACGCACACACATACAGACACACAAGTACACAGACATGCACACACATACAGAAACATACACATACACACAAGCACATGGACACACACACAAGCATACCCCCCTTCCCCCGGGCAGTGGGGAGCTGAGCTCTGACGGGCAGGTGGAACAGGGTGGATAAAGGAGAGTGTTGCACAGAGAAGGCGGACTCCCTGGACAGGGTGAGGGCTGCCAGGGGCATCTGACTTGTTTCAGGAGCTAAAGACAGTGTGTGAAGGCCTGGGTCCTGGAGAACGGGGTGGGGGGGGGAAGGGGACGCTGTTTTCTGACTTGTGACTGCTAACGATGAGGGCAGGGCTCACCCGGGCCTTGGGAGTCTCTCCAGGATCTTTGCACTCACCCTGAAGAGAGTGAGCGTGCTGTAGGGTTTAAGGACAAGGCATGATGTGGTCTGATGTGTGTTTTCAGGTGTCTGTGGAGGAGACCTAGGAGGCCACTCCTCTTGTCTGGGGAGACAGGCGCACAGGTCACGCTGCAGCACTGCCTGTAGAGAGGGACGCAATGAGTGTATCTGAATCACAGGGCCTGGTGTTAGCTTGGGAACAAGTTGGAGTGCCCCTATGATGCTCCCTCTAGCATTTGACTTACAAAGCAGAGTGACCAGGAATGACATTTGCAGGGAGGAAGGCCATCTTTTTTTACTAGGGAATAGCTTTATTACCTTTCTATTGAAACCTGAGAATGTACTGAAGTGTTTACTGCCCTCTGGAAATTTGAACACTTCACACGTGGGGGAAAGAATGACAGATTTTGGACACTGATCTTGAAAGTTTAGAGCTTCAGGCTATAGTGTTTTCCCTTTGATTTTCAAAAGTAGACAAATTGGTATATATTCAATCTTTCTTTTTTTCAAGAACAAGGCTTATTAAAGTTCTAAATTCATGAAAATTAGACTTAAAATTAGTCTCTTGCCTTCTCTCCTCCATCACATCTGTTTCTTCATTCTGGAAAACTGTATACAATCAGTGACCGAAATCACCCATGTCTTCAACTCCTTAAGTTCCTTCTTGTCAGGATCCTGAATAGATAGATTTCTGCTTGGAACAGTCTCACCCCATCTGATGACTGCACCTGCTGGGGTCATGTTAGGAGTTGCTCTGAAGATCCCTTCTTGTGGTTTGGAGTGACTTTGTCATGTATATCAGGGATAGAAAAGACTTTTTACTACCTTGATGAGATCTATTATTCAATGCTATTACAAGCTGCAAGCTTGCTGCAGGCTCTGGAATGGAGCTGGGCTCTCCTGGACAGAGTGGAGATCCCCTGGAACCTTGGCATGCTTTCAAGGGAACAGCTCTGGAGTAGATCACAGTTCGAGGTTTTCATAACTTCTGGTCAATTTTATATAGGAAAGTATCCCATGAAATCCCCTAAAAGGAAGGAAGGGAAGCCACAGACAGTTTTAGGCAAGATCGGAAATGTGAGAGTAGAAAGTCCGACTAATGCTTTGCTTAAGTACAGGACTAGGGCTGGAGTTACCGCCCATGGGGCATGTGTGGACCTCAGGTCAGGTGGTAGGTTCTTTCCTTTTCTCCTTCTGTCTCTCTTGCATATATATGCAAATATGTATGCAAATATATATGTTTATAATATATATATGTATATATATACACACATATATATGCAAGACACACATATATACATGTACACACACAGGCCTACACACACACACACACACACACACACACACACCACACTACACCACACCATACCTTAGCTTGCACTTCTATGTCCTAACCTAGTAGCTTCCTTGGTGGTGGGAATTGGCACAGGGCTTCATAGGCTGCATTAGCTCTCAGTGGCGGCTCCCAAATACAGGCAAATGGAATCTCAGAGCTCTTGTGGAACGGGTCTCGCCTCCCTTCCTACACTCCCAGTTGACAGTCCAACTCTACCCATGCCCCCTTCTGCAGCACTCCTCCTCTGTGAGCATCATGGGCTTTTCCAACACTCTGGAGATGGAGTTGTCGTCTACCAGGCTGGCGAGGACCGTAGAGCCACAGATCCACAGGATGAGCAGCCTGACAGCGGGTCCCACCCACACAATTCCGAACCTTCTGAGTGGCCCACCACAAACCGTGTCCAGCCTGATGAACGTCTCAAACCATGCCGTGCCGAGCCCAGCCAGTCACCTGCAACCCGTGCCAAACCTTGTGCGTGGCTCATTCCAGTCCTTGCCCAACCTGAGGGGTGATTGTGCCCAGGCCATTACAAGCCTGGCAAGCAACCACTCACAGGCCGGTCCCAGCCTAGTGTCCGGGCACACCCAGGCTGCGCCGAGTCTGGCCACTTGTCCTCTGCAGGGCATGCCTCCGGTTTCTGACATACACCTGGAGACTAGATCGGCTTCCAGTCCTGGCTCCGGCCAAACTGCAGAGAGCCTGGGCCCCAAGGATGGGGCTGAGTCCTCCGTGGGGAATGCCCAGTGTAAGGTAGGTCTTGAGGAAGTGACATTCGGCTTTTGCTTATTGTGAAGCAAAAGGTTGGCCACTGGCAGCCTTAGCTTAGCCTCAGCTCAGCAGTTTTGCTGTTGGCTAGAATTTCTGACTTGATTCTCGTTGACCTTTCACCTTTGACAGATGGAAAGTGAGGATAGCTCTCGCTTCACAGACTCAGTAGGGAAAGGCCCCACAGCCTCCAGTCTGGATGTTCCCAAGGATTTGGCTATTCCCTCAGAACTGGAGGAGCCAATTAACCTTTCTGTGAAAAAACCTTTCCTGGCACCAGTGACCAACACATCTACGGCTCTACAACAGTACCAGCGGCCAAAAGGTGAGTCTTGTTTCCTGTTGGCCACAGGTGTGAGCCGGTGAGGTGGAGGCAGGCGGATGGGCTCAGCTTGGGGGATGCTGCTTATGAGACTGGATGTGCTTCTGTCCTTTGGAAGTGATATACATGCTTCTGCTTCCCTAACCATGGGCAGCACTGATCTGTGGGGCCTCCTTCTCATCTCCCCCATAGAACACATCCTGGTGAGTCTGACTTTGTATTGTAGGCACGCTTGAAGGAATCACTCCAAAAGAGCTAGCCTTGGTAAAACCTGTGAGGTATGTCTGATGGATCTAGTTAGGACATCAGCTCTGTCCTTGGTGAAATGGATATCTGCCATCTGCCCCAGTGAATGGGACTCACCAAACTCCTGCACAGAGTAGGGGACAAACACTACAGAGAAACACTTAGCCCTTTACTCTGTACCAGCACGGTTTTCCATGTACTTAGCCGTCATGTAGACTTGTGCAGTGCCTTGTAACGGAGGGGATTTGGACCACTGGAGAGAGGCTCCCAGTTTCTTCTCAGGGAGAAACTTCTACCACATGGGTTCTGTGGGTTGAATTCAGGATGTCAGACTTGGCAGCAAGAACCTCTACCCACTGAGCTGTCTTGCCAGCCCACCAATATCCTGTGTTAGGGTGATTTGTTTCAGTGCTGGTCAGCGGTTTGTTTCATCCGATAAGGGATGGACAAGAAGTTGGAGTCAAACACTGACCATTTAGGATTTTTCCCATGTGTGGTGTTATTGCTTATTTTGAAATGGATCAGTCTATTCTGTAGGCACTTACTACGTACGGGAACAATGATACCACCAAACGAACTGTTTTTCTCATTTTTTCTTTATACTAACGGACCAACTGGAAAAGTTATTGGTCCTTATTACATAAGTAATATTACCTTCTATCTTATGCAATTAAATCAAAATTTTAGGCCCAGATTTGCCCAAGGAAAGTGTATAGTCCAGTGCTAATGAGTGGGAGCTCCTGTCTGTGCCTCGCCTCTCTCCCTGCCATCCGTGTTGACTGTGCTGTGCAGAGGCTCTGGACCCAGGGGTAGCTGTAGAAAATGCCGGGAGGTGACACGAGTGTGTTGGAAGCTGGTTATTTCTGAGCTCTGAGAAGATGGCTCTCAGTGCCTCACCCAGCTCTTACCTCTTGGCAGGCTGTGCTACTCTTTGCCAAAAAGATGATGGCTTTCAGCGTCTCCCTGGAAGGAGACCTATAGTGGGATTGTCACCACCATGACTGAGCACACTTGGTAACAACGGTGTGGCAGATGTATGACCAAAAGTCCAAATAACAGAAAAATGCAGAAGGTCGAAGTTGGCACAAATGTATGTCACAACTATTCAATTTATCTCTTGTCTTTTGTCTTAGAATATGAGAATTTTGAACAAGGAGTGCTAGAGCCAGACACAAAAGAGAATCCAAGCATCAGGTAATGACTCTGGGCCGACCTTCTTACCCTCAACTTCCTGGCCTGAGAGCTTGGCACAGGAAGTAATCCTGTAGAAGAACTAGAAGCAGAAATTTGTCTACACCTGCTCTTACCACCTGCTGAGCCTCAAGTGGGATCCCTGCGGTTGGGCGCCTATGATAGTTAAGGAAGAGTTCCAGGCCCCATTAGACATGCACTCTGTGTGTGACAGTCCTTGCTCCTCAGGGAGCCCTCCTTTGACCACAGATGGTGCCAAGGGTCTTTGCAGTGTTTGACAGGGTTGAATGGGTTGATCTTGGCAAGAGCAGAAATGTGGACCTATACAGGGTTAACTGGGGAGTCTGCTTATCTGTGGGATCACGAAGGAGGCTAACTTAGAGATCAGGGGGCCATTTAGGGCTCCTGATGAGACCCAGGGTGTGTCTCTCACCACAGAGCCATCGGTAGTGAGCCCAAGATCCCTTACGTGCGACTGGAGCGTCTCAAGATCTGCGCAGCCTCATCAGGAGAGATGCCAGTGTTTAAGTTGAAGCCGCAGAAGAACAGGCAGGACGGGAGTTTCCTGCTGGTGATCGAGTGTGGTGCTGAGTCCTCTAGCATGTCCATTAAGGTACCACTTGGCTCTGCTTGGTCCAGGCTTCTTATTGCTTCTCGGCCTTTTGGCTAAGACCAAGTGTAGAATATCCTTGAGGGCCTTTTGTGAACCTCGGTGGGACATAGCTTGTCCTCTGCTGCATGGGATCTGGGAGATATGGCAGGGTGGCTGAGCTGGGACTTGGCTGGCTTGTGGTCCTGGAGTGAGAGACCCTCAGAGTAAGTGCTCAGTCTCTATCGCTCTCCCCCCACCCCACCCCATCCCTGCCAACCATCTGTCAGTACTGTGCTCCGACCGCTCAGACTCCTTTCTTCCCCAAGGTCAGCCAGAACAGCCTGCCTGATGCCACCCAAGGCCCAGGGCTGGGGGGAAGAAAGGTCACTGTCACATCTCTGGCTGGGCAGCGGCCACTGGAGGTGGACAGTGAATCTTCTGAAGAACAGAGACTCATTCCCCGAACTCTTGGAGCCAAGAAGTGCACCCCAGCCCCCATCGAGAATGAGGACTTCTGTGCTGTGTGCCTCAATGGTGGGGAGCTGCTGTGCTGTGACCGCTGCCCCAAAGTGTATCACCTTTCCTGCCATGTGCCAGCCTTGCTCAGCTTCCCGGGGTGAGTCGTGCCATCACCTGGCTAGCGGGGTTATCTTCAGGGCCAGATCATGATCCTGGCCAGGCCACAGCTCCCCCTTTTCCATACCTGTCACGGGCAGAGGGTCAGGGGAGGCTGCTGGCTTCTAATACGACCCCATCTGCTGCACAGGGGAGAGTGGGTGTGCACCCTGTGCCGCAGCCTGGTGCAGCCGGAGATGGAGTACGATTGTGAGAACGCCCGCTATAGTCAGCCCGGAGTGCGGCCTGCTCCTGGCCTGAGCATGTATGACCAGAAGGTAGGGAAGCGTTCTGGGAAGAGAGTTTCCTGTGTGAGGCAGATCCTTGTGTCTACAGAGGCTAAGGTTTTTCCAGGGAGATGACAAGCCTGTTTTGGGGGGTGATCTTTGTTAGTCAGCTGTGACATGGCTGTAACAAAATACCTGAGAAAATCCACTACAGCAGAACAGGGTTATTTAGACTCACGGTTTCGTCCCATGGTCACTTGGCGCCATTGTCCCCAGGTCTGTGACCAAACAGAAACAGTACAGTAGGGAGCATGGGGAGAGCAGAGCTTCCCTTATGGCCTCCAGGGACAGTATATACCCTGCGAGGGAGTGGCCCAGATGACCTACTTCCTCCCTCTCTCCTCCACTCCTTAAAAGTCTCACCCACTGATCCCTGTGTGAGGCCAGAGCCTTTATAGTTAAGTCACCCTGCAAGGGCTCCATCTCTGAGCTGCTGCCCTGGGACCAAGTCTTCAATACAGGAACTTCAGGCTCTGAGCGGTGGCCAGGGGGGTCATTTAAGGCTGCACCATGCCCATACCTGATGCCTCGGCCTGTGGGAATCTATGTGATTGTCCTTTCCCCAGTAGTTTCCCTTTGACCTGAGAGCCCAAGCTGCCTTTTGAGGGTGGCTGACACCCTTGAGGTCAGAGCCAGTTACCAGGGTTACCATCTTTAGTTCTCATTGAGATGGGCAAAACAGTGTGCCGCTTGCCATTTGTGATTTCTGCAGAAGTGTGAGAAGCTGATTCTGTCGCTGTGCTGCAACAACCTCAGCCTGCCCTTCCACGAACCAGTCAGCCCTCTGGTAAGGAGCCCCCATGCTTCTTCCTGCTGCTCTCCTTTCTGCTTAGGGCCCCCTGGGGGTCCCGGCCATTCCTGCTTCTTGCTCTCCCTCGCACCTGCTAACATCAGACTTGACTTAGCAAGCCTCTTCCCCTATCCCTACTTTTATTCCTCCTCCTCCTTCATCTCCTCCTCCCCTTCTCTCCCTCCCCAAGGCCAGGCATTATTACCAGATTATCAAGAGGCCCATGGACCTATCGATTATCCGGAGGAGGCTGCAAAAGAAGGACCCAGCTCACTATACCACTCCAGAGGAAGTAGTATCCGACGTGCGCCTCATGTTCTGGAACTGTGCTAAGTTCAATTATGTATGTTAGTCTCGTTTTCTGTTTCGCAGTGACCCTGAGATGGTCATGGCTGGGGGTGGGTGTGGGCAAGGGCATCTGGGAGCAGAGTTCTGGGATTTGCTATGGTTTAAAAGCCCTCTCCCAAATGTGGGCCCCAAGCTTGAACTCAGAAGGATGGGAAGAGGTGGTAACTGGCCAACCGTGGGTATCTATCTACTGAAATTACGTCTGCTTTATGAGCTGCTACCAAATGGGTTATCTTGGGCCCTAGGAGAATGTGCCAAGCTCCAGGTCTCTCAGGATGAGAGTCTAAGATGGGCCAGTCAGGCTTGTGCTCCCTGTGTCCCTTATGATGGAGGAGCATAGAGAGATGGCCTGGTAGAAACAGGCTGAACCACTACTGTCTCCCCTCATCAGCCCGACTCGGAGGTTGCGGAGGCTGGTCGCTGTCTGGAAGTATTCTTTGAGGGCTGGCTAAAGGAGATCTACCCAGACAAATGCTTTGCCCAGTCCCAGCAAGAGGATTCAGACTCTGAGGACGTATCCGGCGAGAGTGGCTGTTCCACCCCTCAGGGCTTCCCGTGGCCTCCCTATATGCAGGAAGGCATCCAGCCCAAGAGGCGGCGGCGACACATGGTAAAGAGCCAGCCAATGGACAAGGTGGGTGGGTGGTGGCACTGGCAAGGGGCACCTGAGCAGCCAGCGCCGAGTACCAGATGGAGTCATGTCGATGACACTTCACTCTCAACCCCCTAGCCTATGAGAAAGTAGAGTGGCGTGGAGACCACCAGCCCCAGGTATTAGTGAAGTCCGACATTCAGAGGGGCCACGTGCCTGCCAGGGGTCCGCTAGCAAGTTTACGGCTCTAGGGTGAAGAAGGTGTCCTGACCCCTCAGCTCAGAACTGTTAGACTACACTCTGACTGCAATGCCCATAGAAAGAGAACTACCTGATACCAGTGCCTGAGTCCTGCCTGGGCCAGAGGGAGGAAAGCAGGGACCCTTTAAACTCCTAGATAGGGAGGAAGCAGCGTGCTGGCTTGCAGCAGACACTTCTAGGACCTTCTGGCTCTCTCGTCTGTGTAGACCTGAAAGATCAGTCTCCCTCCTTCCTTCCCTCCCTGTGTCCCTCCCCCCTTGTCCCCTTCTTCCTTCCTTCTCCTTCCTTCAATTCCTCTTTTCATCTTTCCTTTTTGAAATAGGGTCTTACTCTGTAGCCAAGGCTGGATTGGAACTAACTCTAGAAACCAGACTGGTCCTAAGCTTGTGACAGTCCCCCTACCTCTTCCTCCCAAGTGCTAGGATTCCCTGTGTGTGATACTGCATGCAGCCATTCTGTTAAACCCCCTGAAATGTGCTGCTGGCCCCCAAGGTCTGGCAGAAACCCCTGGTTATCTACAACACTTACATCGTACATAGGGCCCTTGGTGAGCTCTGCTGTTGCCTTTCCAGGGTAGAATACACCGGGAAACCCCAATCCTGACCCTGGTCCCCTTCAGTTTAATAAATCTGAATTTGAGTATTCCATTTTTTTTCCTCTTAGGAGAATGAAAAGACAAAGAAAATGTCGTTTCGTCTGGCCAACAGCATCTCGCAGGTGTGAGAGCTGGAAGGAGGCGGGCACGCTGGTGGCCAACGTCCCACCTTCTCGCCCATCTCTCCCCACCCTTCAGCTTATCCTCCTCAGAGTGTGGCTGTGAGATGAGTCTTGTCGAGCGGGTCACGCTCCCTTCACCATTTGCATCTCTAGCATTTATCCGGGAGCCATAGTGCATCCCCCATAAAGAAATTTCAGGAAAACAGGAAAACAGGGAAGAGGGAGGTGTTCCTCATTGCCAGAGTAATGGACACACAGGCTCCATGCCTCTCGCGGCTCAGGAGGACCTGGCAGACTTCGCTCACTTCTCAGCAGGCTCCACGCTGCAGCCAGGGCTCAGGAGCACTGCGCCGTGTGTGTCTGAACTCCTGGTTTAGAAGCGGGTACACGAAAAGAGGCGAGGTTTGGATTATGGCAGGTCTGTGATCCCTGTCCCAGCGCAGCCAAAGACTGTCACTGTTTGCCTTTGCTCGTCCTGTTGGGACAGAGGCATCTGCCACCGGCAGAGTAGTGGAGGCTTCTCGAGGCCCCAGGTCTCAATTGGTGCCTATTTGGGTTCTAACGGTTTTCAGGGTATTTGCTGCTTTCCGTGCCCCCTTTCCTGAGTAGGAGTTAGGTGGTCACTGTGAAGTGCTATGTGTGGCTGGCACTCTCGCCTGAGTTAGGTGGCTGTGCAGAGACCGGATTTCACTCACACTCCGCCGGTGCGAGCTTCAGAGTCTGTCCCTCTGTGTCCTGACTCTGGGCTGATAGCACTTGAGAAGCTACCTTCTCAGAAGTGACTACTGTGTGTGTCGGCGGTTCTTCCTTGATCACCTCTGTTCCACATCTGCATCTTGGGTTTTACTTGGGAGAAGTGAGGTGGCGTCGGCTGCTGGTACAGAGTTCCCTAGCAAGAACAGCCCGCAGCCAGTGTGGTGTGCTGGGCCTCTTCTCCTGCCCAGGTTCTTGTTTTCTCTACTTTCTCGCACAACCAAAGATCAGAACTGTGGCCTCGCTGCTCGCAGCCCAGAAGCAGCCAACACACGGTCACCCTTTTTTGTCAGAGCTCGGAGAAGACAGTGGCGATGGATGGGACTCTAACTGGGCATTCCTGGGCTAAGGGCAGAGAAGGGGGATACTGAGATGTGAGAAACCAGCATCCTTTAGTGACCCTAAGGTAACACTAGAGTCTCAGTTTAGACAGAATGTAGGAAGGCGTTCTGGAAGCCCTGGGAATAGAGCTGTGCTGTGTAGATCCACTGTAGATGGATCTCCATGGTGAAGGCAGGGCGTCTGAGAAGAAGCATCTGAGAAATCTACGGGGCCAGGCTTCTGCCTAGACAAGGGCTTGGTTGATGAAGAACCTATTGATTATATTGCTGGTGGAGATGGCATCTTAGTAGCCTGGTCCCGAGACATGGCATGGCTGATTTTAGGGGACTTTCAGGCTGTGGCTTTGGTTTTGCGAAAGTTTAAGGACGTGATTATTCATAAGGCCTTTTTTTTTTTTTTTTTTTTTTTTTTTTTTTTTTTTTTTTTGGCTGGGAAGCAAGGATTTTTTTTTTCCACCAGAAAGGTTTTCTTCTCTCCCTGTCAGTCAACAAAAGCACTCAGTCCCTTCTGCACTTGTCTTTCAGCAGCATGGTAAGCTCTCTTCAGTAGATGGATGGGCTTCCATACCCTTCTGTCTGACTCCAGGCAGCTGAATCTTCTTCAGTTCGTTTCCAGTCAGGTAACCTTTGAACACAGGCTTTGCTCCTTGTGTTCACGAGATTTTTGTTGGGCTCCTCTATTTCTCTTCTGATTTTGCAGCCTTTCCTCTGATTGGCCTGGTGAGCTTCCTTCTTTGCATTTCTTCTTCTTTTCTTTTCTTTTCTTTTTTCTTCCTTCCTTCCTTCCTTCCTTTCTTCCTTTTTTTTTCTTTTTTGGTTTTTTGAGACAGGGTTTCTCTGTAGCTTTGGAACCTGTCCTGGAACTAGTTCTTGTGGACCAGGCTGGCCTCAAACTCACAGAGATCTGCCTGCCTCTTCCTCCAGAGTGCTGGGATTAAAGGCGTGCGCCACCACCGCCCAGCAAGCGTCCTTCTTTTCATATGTCCTTAATTTCTGCTTTGGGAACCTTTCCTTTGTGGCCCATATTCCATACTTCACAGTGTTCGGCCCTGGAAAGCCACTGAACACTGTGTTAGCCTGAAACCTAGCAGCCTTTCTTGGATCCGCTGGAGACCGTGCCCGGGACACGGAAATGCTGGTTCAAAGCCTTGCTTTCCCTCTCTTGCTGCAGCTTGTCGCTGTGTCCTGTCAGAACAAGGATCAGCTTCTGGGCCCAGAGATCTGGGAAATGTGGTCGGCAGTCCTCTGTTCTCTGTCCACTACAGAGCCCCTCTGTGCTGAGAGGCTCCCTCTGGGCCTGTGAGCAGAGTAGATAGGAAAGAGGGATGCCTTTTCCTTCAAGGAGGTGAGGCCCTGGCCCACTGTTCCTTCCCTACACTGACTAGCCCATGGAATTTCCCCTGGGACCACGTTTTTAAAGTCATCTTAAATTTTTTTCTTTGCATGCAAAAAAAAAAAAAAACCAAACTGGAAGTTTAAGAAATTTGAAACAAAACCAAACACATGTCCACTAAGCAAGTTTTGCTCTTTGGCTTCTCAACATTTTCATTGGATCCTGCAGTGACTCATTCCCATGTGGTCCCATGGTCAACTAAGGTCCTTGGTTCTGGACAAAGTCATGCAGTGGGAATGCAGTGAGTTCTGGTTGTTCCGCTGCAGTGTGCAGCGCTAGAAGACAAGAGACTTCTTCCTGGCAGCGCTGAGAGACGCACTAGTAGGATGGCTTCAGTGGTTAGTGCAGACATTGGTACGGGAGGGACTTGAAAAGCATCCTTACACAGAGTATGGCAGGTTGATCCTCCTGAATTCAGTAACGGGTACCTGCCTGCTGTAGGAACCTTGCTGAATGGCCACCATCAGGCCCTCCTTGGACATCGCTCCATGGGTGACATTGTTGGAAATGCAGTGAGCGTTGGCTTCCTGTCCCTAGTTTTGCCACGGGTCTCTGTATGCCTCTTAATATGCCGGCCCCTCTTTGTAGCTGTCTCTGCTCCGTTCCCACTTTTGCCACCCTAGTCACTATTAAACTTCTGAGCTGAGTCTTCACTTCTGGGCCTCCTCTTCTCCAGCCCCATTCATTCACTGCTGTGCACGGTCCCTTCTCCATGACTGTGTCCCTCTCCCTTCTCCCAGACTTTCCTTCTCCAGGATTTCCTCCTCTTCCCAGCGTGAACCCAGAACCCATCACATAGGTTCCCTATCAGCATCTTGAACTTTCCTAACTCCCCAGCTTCTACGGTCTCCATTTTTCACGTCAGCCTGCTTTCTTTTCCTTTTTGACTTCTAAGCATGGCAGACTCAGAACCACATCCTCAGTATTGATTGGGAATCCTTGAACTTGTATTACTCTTCTTTCTGATGCACATTCTTCATCTTTGCTGTCAGCTAATGACTGAACATACCATCCGCTTCCTTGAAGAGAGCTCCCGAGTGAGGGCTTCCTGCCCGCTGCTCTTCTTCCTGTTGACCAGTGTGTGTATCCTGTCTCGCTTCCTTCCCTGTACTCCTAGTTCTGTGTTCTCTGAGCCCCGATATGTCCTCCAAGGCTCTGCTTTTTTCCCTCTGGGCTCTGCGGGCACTCTCCTTTGCTTCCCTCCACACAGCCTACCAAAGTTATTTCAAGATTAAAACAAGAATGTCACATCTGTGTCATAAACCACTTTCCCTATCCATCATTTTTATTTTTAAAATAAACTGTTTGGCTGGACATGGTGACATACATCTTTAATCCCAGCACTTGGGAGGCAGAGATAGGAGGATCTCTGGGAGTTCAGCCTGGTCTATAGAGTGAGTGCCAGGCCAGCCAGGGCTACAAAACACAAACAACAAAAAGAATATTTTTGATTCTTCTTCATCTTCGATCCTCTGTTGATTTTCATAAGAGTCACCAGTGACCACACAGTTGCCAAATGCAATGAATGCTTCTCATTTCCCAGCTGTCTGGAGCCCTGCACAGCCCCTCCCTTGGTCCACCCTTCCCTTCGCCTACCACGCCCTTCACTCCGTCTTTCAGGACAGTCCGGTTGCTGCACCATTTTTATCTCAGCCACAAAGGCTAAGCTTGTTTGAGACCGAGATGGAGGGATGTGCCTGGCTGTTGTCATTTTCTCCTCTCCAGGGTCTGGGTAAGCAAGCAAAATCATAGCTGTCCCCGGTTCCTCCTCTCTGGCTTTCAACCCCTTCTTGGGTTTGCTTCTCCTCTGGCGAGCTCATGAGCATCATGAGAACCTGCAGAGAGTTCTGCACCTGTGAGTCCTCCCCTCTGTCGCTCCCAGGAGAGCATAGAGAGACAGCCAATTTGTTAAGAGCCCCATTCGGTCAGCCTAAGAGAGGGTTGGATTTTGCAGCATGCAATCTGCCATCTGGCTCAACTAAATTCCCACACTGGTGGGCAGCTCACCAGTACGATACTTATCAGTTGGAACCTGCCTCAGTCAGCAGGGAGCTGAGGATCATGGGAAGGCATGCTTTCATGCTTGATTCGGGGCTGCAGACAGGAAGAGTCCTGGCAGGGTGGGGGTGTGTCATGATGACCTTCTGAGGGAGGGGAAACTGGGAAGTGCCGTGGTTCCTCCAGCTCAGCTAGACCCTTCCCGTAGGTCATCCCCTCATCTGCTTACTTCAGATGCTACCAGAGCTTCAGATGGTAGCTGCTTTCTTGGAGGTATTGTAGAAGGACATCTGACTTGAGAGTCTGAAAATCTCAATTTTGGCATTGTAAA